ATTTGCGCAAGATCATGCCAATGTAGACACAGCCAGGATGTCTGGCTCAGGGAAGGGGAGGTGTCACAGCTTCTCCCAGGCTTCCCTCAATTTATTGTTCCCAGCGTGGTATATCATTTGGGAGACACATTAATGTGGCTTGGGGTTTTTTTTGGTGGGGGGGAGGGAGGGAAGAAGTGTCTCTCAACTATGTTTTCAACAACCGGGTTAGGGTTAGGGAGCCTGGTCAGTGGCCAGCCCTGCTCACTGTGCTGCCCAAGAGCAGTTCTTGTCCTGCCCTGGCCCAGCTGATGCCCGCCCCTCCAGTTGCTCCAATGCTAATAGCCGGATATGCCGACTCAGGGGCTTCCCCACGGGCTGCGCAGGGGCTAGCAGGGAGCCTGTGGAGCTGCAAACCGGATGTTCGACAACCTGGGCCAGTGGTGCTGCCTGGCATCTCCAGGAGCCTGGGCCAGGGGCTTCCAGTCCCAAACTGGACACATGCCTCCCTCATCCCTCCCCCCCTTGCCCTGCCCCCATCCCCTCAGAGCTCCCCTCTTTCACCCCTTCTAACTTCTGCCCCTCAGCTAGGGAGACCCTGGCTCAGTCCCCCACCATACAGGCACAGGAGTGGACAAGGATCTCACACCCCAGGTATTCAAGAGCCCATCCAGCAATGTGATATGGCTCCCCATGACGGTCAGTGTGCAGTATGCATTGCACAACTGCTCACCATAGACATGTAGGCCTGGGTGACCCTGCCCATCCTGGTGCCAGCTTGTGCCCAGGCCCCAGACCTCCTGGGCACTGGCATTTGTCAGGCCAGCAGCCAGCTGGCTCCCCGGGATGTGTATGTGATTAAAACAGGCATTGGACTGGCAGAGACCGGGGCAGAGGCTGGACTCTGGGAAATGCTGGGGGTTGCTGCAGGTGCTGACCCCCTGGGACTCGCTGTGCCTGTGGCACTGGGTGATGGTTCAGTGTTGCTCAGGGGCTGGTCGAGGGTTTGTTGTGACACTGGGAGCAGCCCAAGGCCAGGAAAGGAGCAGAGCCAAGTGTGAGACCCTGGTGTGTTCGGGGCGGTGGGGGGGGAGAAGAGAAGGGTATCTCCTGCCTGGCACAGGAAGCTTGAGACACCAGACAAGCCACCGTGGAACATTGTGGGAAAAAGAATCTGTTGGCTGCTCCCCTCCTCCTTGTGCCCTTGAAGAGGAGCCGAGCCCCAAACCCTCTGTTCCGCAATGTGATTTGTCCTTTTCATATTTGTTCATTTTTTTTAATTGTATCCTTTGGTATATATGGTTGTGACTACTTTCTTCCACTATTTGATCTGAGGAAGTGGGTCTGGCCCACGAAAGCTCATCATCTAATAAACCATCTTGTTAGTCTTTAAAGTGCTACATTGTCCTGCATTTTGCTTCAACTACCCCAGACTAACACGGCTACATTTCTATCACCAATCTGGAGGGGAGCTAGAGCGTTAGTGTGGGAACCTTGAGTCTCGAGGGCCACACTCACGTGAGCTGGGGTATTAGGTTCCTCACCCCTGCTTTAAAAACAAAACCTCTTACTCTTAAAAATCGATCCCCGTATCTCTGGTCGGACCACCTTCACGCAGGTCCTCCGGGATGGAAAACTGCAGCAAACTGTATGAACAGAAACAAACAGAAGCCCCAATCGCAGCTGGAGGTGGGGCGAGGCTGCCCCAGCAGGGACACAACGGGGCAGCCGCCCTCCACCAGATCAGGAAAACAACCGCGCCATTCCCCGGCCAGCAGGAAGGCGAGTGCCGCTGCAAGGCTCCGCAAGGGAGGTGGGCGGCAGAGGGGTGTTTGTGCGCGGCTGACGGGCAGAAACCAGAATGTTATAGGGCTTGGGGAGGGAGTAGGCTGTCTGTCACTCAGGCTGTACTGACGGGGTAGGTGGGGGAGGGTTCTCTCAAATTTGTTTCCATATCTGTGTGGAATAAATGCTGTTATGTGCACCAAGGCAGGCGCAGATGTGCACCACCCATAGAAACACAGGCTGCTGGCTGTGGGGGCTTTGCTAATCAGCTGGGCAGCACCCGAATCTCTCCTGAGTGGCTGCCCAAGTGCTCAGCTTACAGGGAACACTGGTGGGGGGCCCATGAGCAGCCCCAGCCCATGTCCCCACCCGCACCCAGGGGAGAGGGAGAGTCTGAGGCTCCCCCCAACTGCCCTGTGGTTCTTACCCCATTCACGTCACAGTAAGAGCTCTCTGGGCAGTGGGGGATCCATGGACCCTCCATCTGCCCTGGGCAGAGGCTGCCACAGGCCGGCCATTTGCCCG